AAAAAAATTCTTGTTTGTTTGTTTTGTATATTCTCACCTCAGGGGAATTTCCTTGGAAGATTGCACCTGATTGCATCAGACCAGCAAACTGCCAAAATGTGTGTGTGTGTGTGTGTGTGTGTGTTTGTACAAATGAACAGATTCTCAGTGCATTTCCCTGTAAAAACATGAAACATAGGTGGGTATCAATATTTTAATCCTAAGTAATGCATGTAGGTCAATATACAGTGCATGGTTTAATGTTTAACTGTGTTCATTATTAATGTTTAAGGTCTTAGTCATGGGCTTAGATAGGATTTGGAGTAGTAAATCAGACCCTCTGTGACAAATACCTTGGTGTAGGGTATCAGGAAATAAAGTAAAAAATGTATCAGCTTTTTACTTCCTCATTGCTCTGATAGAATACAAACCCCATGAAACCGAACCCAACGTATCAGTGTATGCATTTTTTTGTTGGGCTGCATGGCGTAACAGCAGTCTGGCGAGGAAGGAGCGGCTAGCAGGTCCAGCGGGCATATGGTGTGGAGGTTAGCCAGATAACTCGAAGCCAGTCAGTTAAATCAAACAGCATACCTTTATTCGTTGTCAGCAACAAAAGACCATACAAGCCAGGTCTCCACAGCTCTACAAGGTCGTACATACATCTGCAAAGATCAGTAGTCGCCGGCGCCAGCCCGTTACAACGGTAAGGTTTCTCCTAAGAACAGAGCATGAACAGCATGGAATGGCTGCCACCACCCTAGTGGTGCTATAATACAATACGGGCTGTTACAATGCTAAATGCTTGAGTTGCTTTCATGTGATTGGATATATGTGAAAACCTGCATTTGAACATATACCTAATAAAGTGGCTGATGAGTGTATGATGGGCAGCCAGATATTCTCCTTAGGAGTATTTTTAGATCACAGTTCTGTACTTTTGGAATTATAGAACTGAATAAGTTTGATTATAAGTTTGATAATAATGACTCATTAACATGTGAGAAGGATCTCACTTAGAACCTCAACTGCTCTGTTTTCTTTTGGGTTCCATGATTTTTTTTTTGTCTTCTTTATTTCATTGTTGGTTTGTAGTCACAGAGTCTATGTTTGATCAGCAGAGTAAGACATGTTATGCTAATTCATAATTTCTGTTTATGGACTGAGAATATATAAGTTTTGAATGCATATATTCTGCTGGGTGATTATTCTAAAGGGTTTGGCTCTGATGACTGAGTGGTTTAGTTAGACTCACCCTTGTTCACTTCCATGTAAAATAGGACGGCTGCCGTCAGATTCCTTAAGCTGGATAATTTCGTCACATTATCAAACTTAGGTAACAGTTCATCTGCATATTTTAATACAACATCTGGAGACTTCCTGTTGCTTTTTCGCTCTGTAAAACAAACGGTGGATGCAGCAGCACCAAAGTTTGCTTTTCTTTCACTCTACAAGAGCTCACTGTCTCGGTAATCGCTCCACCTCTTTGTTCTTGGCGGTGTGGGAACAGATTCTGGCACCACGTGAAACTATGCCAGAATCATCCTCACTGCTTCTGTTTTGTCATTAGCGTGTGTGGGCTTAATGTTGTCAAACATTTTGTTCACACACTGCTCATAAATACGTTTGTATTGCAGGTTTGTTTTTCGGGTTAAAACATTCGCATTTGCGCTTCCATGTTGACAATGGCGTGCTACAGAGCCGTGCCTTAAACAAAGTATCAAAGCAAGGAATCTGTGTTGAGAATTTTTTAATTTAATTATTAAATGTACTCGATGACTAGTCGCAGCCCTGTTTGGTACACATGGTAAATATAGTTATTAACAATTCTGTGTATGGTTGTCCAGCTGCACCATCGCACACAAAAAGGCCCTTCACAGGGTCATTAATATGGCCCCAAAAATCATTGGACATCCTCTTACCCCCCCTGTTCAGCACTGTCGCAAGAGGGCATGCAGAATCCTACGGGACTGCACACACCAGAACACCAGGTGTTTAAGCTGCTGCCATCTGGCAGGAGATTCAGGCTGCTGAGGTCGTGGACAAACAGACTCATGGACAGCTTTTACGATAGGGCAATAGCCCTAATCATTGCTAACAGCTGACCTGATTGGCTACTTCCCTGGACTTTTTGTTAGGCAAACATAATAATAATAATAATGATAATAATAATATTGTGAAATAAACATACACTCATTCTTTCTATTTATCATTCTTACACCTTAAAGAACCATGAGGTGCAGGTTGGTGCTATATGAACAGAATCTTGCCCAAATATATTTGGCATGGAGACTGGAGTAGGCAGAGACTGAACCATCACCTTCCAACAGATTCCAGTAGATGACCTGCTCTATCTCTGGACCTAGAGCCTCCCCTTATGTTTGGTTCTGTATGTCCAGCTGCTCAATATGTGGCTCTTGGCTCACTGTAAGTCAGTCTACCCTTCTGAAGAAAAATTATAGGGAATGATAAGTATGTATCACTTGGTTGATATATACTTACACACCGATGAATGAATGACAGGCATTTTGGGGTTTAGTATCTTGTCCAAGGACACTTTGACATGTGGTCTGCGGGTCTGTGGTCTCTCTTCTGATAAATAGACTACCAGTGTGACCTCCTGAGTCCTGTGTCCAGTAAGCTGCCCTGGACAGTCAGGGCAGTGAATTAATGCTGTATGGCAACTCTTCCTGTTGCTACGTCACATTAGCTTACAGTTGTTGATTCTGATCCCAAAAGATTCAAAGTGGAACGCAAATAGATACTAATAAATAACTATCAATATTTTAATTTAGTTTATTGCATACCCAGCTGCTCACTCTTCTACACTCTGGACAGGTCACCAGTTTATTGCAGAGCTAACAAAGACAGACTGCCCTTCAGACAATGACAGGAGTACGGAGCACTCAGAAAAAATGTGGCAGACACCAGGAAAAAAATGATAAGAGAACTAAACACTATGTAGAAAGAAACAGCAAAAAAAAAAAAAAAAGTCCACCTCTGCTGTGATCTTGACAATATTTATTTACAATGTGTGGCCATCAGAAATATGGCAACACTGACAAAAAAGAAGTGATAAGGAATTTGACTTTAGACATGATCTCAGCTAGATTGATTCTCCTTTTCCAGCACTACAACAAAAGCAATACCACTGTAATTGCTTTTATTTCCAGCAAGGGGTGCAAGGGAGTTACATTAACGCAGTATTCTGTTTGTTCAAATAGATACCATAAAAATATAACTCATCGGTTTAGAAAGATAATGATATAGCATAAATGCCCACAGTATTTAATTTAATTGCATTATCACATTTAAAACACTGATAAACAAAACTTTGCACACCTGTTATTAACTTCTGAGCAACAAATATTACAAAAAGGTCAAGATAACATTTAACTTGTTAATGACCTCTGCTGCTGCTCAGTACCCAGAATACAAACAATTATGTATATGGAGATCTTCAAAAATGGTCAATCAAATTAATTTTTGTTCCAGTTTGAGGAAATTAATTGGAAATTTGTAAAGTATAAAGCACTTTTCTCCACTGGTGTCATGGTTTAACCTTCAGATTCCTCAGGGATAAAACCTGTGGCTGTAATCCATGTTGTCTGAAGAACTAGAGGCGGAGGAAAACAGAAAAAAGGCTTCATGTTATCGCTGGACAAAGTGAATATAAGTATGAAAAAAGAAAATAAAACAGAGGTTAGTCTGACCTCTTGCAGTCTCTCCTGAATGTCCGACTCTGACAGCTGAACAAATGCCCGCAGTTTCGCTTTCAGTCCAATAACATAATCTGTTTACACAACAAAAAACAAAAACAAATGTTACACTAATTAATAATGACATAATGATCCTGAAATCTTTATTTATAAAAGAAATTAAAGGAGTATTTATTCTTGGATACTGTATTTAAATGTATGTTGTTATTCACAGCATCCAAGTTTTTGTTAATTAGGATTGTAGAGATATACGCGTAATGCATTATGAAGTAAATTACAGAAATGTTGTAAATGATCAAATGATACAAACACAGGTATACAAACAATATACATGACCAAAAATGCTTTGGGAGGATACAGTAAATGAAAGAAAGGCAAATACTTACTAGGCCCTTTGAATGTAGAAAGTAGAATCAGTTATGCATTTACAGGGAGAGAAAACAAAATGGAATTAACTATAAACACAATATCTACATGCAAATTGATTCTTCAACACTAATAGACAAGGAAAACAATCACATGCACTGATGAGCAGCAAAAGGAAGATGCAACAACAACAACAAGAAAAACTAAACCAAAGAAAAAAGTCAAAAACAAAACAAAACCTGTTATTCTTCCAGCTTGTACTCATCATTAATTTACTCACCAGTGACTGCAGTAATGCTGACTCCACTGCTTCTGACGTTCT